GTCCACATACAGAGCATTATCATCAGTTCTAGGGCACCACATTTCATGAAGGACATTGACAAAGTGTAGAGGTTCCAGGGAGAGCACCCATGGTGGTGACTGAAGACCATGCCATTCCAAGATTGGTTGAAGATACAAGAGATGACTTAGAATTTGGTAGCTCTGAAGGATAATCATGTGGAAGGACTAAAATGGGGAGGGATTAGAAACTATGTTTTATAAGGATCAATTGAAGGGCTGTTTACATTGGATAAAAACTTAAGGAGCATATGATAACTATCTTCAAATATATGAAGTGCTATCATATTAGAAATGGATCAAACTGTTCATTTCTTCAGCATATCTGCAGCTCTCTCCACCTGTATCTTCACTTTACCATAGCCAACCTCAGGGATCTCACCACAACCCAAATCTGTGTTCCTTCCATGATTCTGAACCTTAAACTTCCCCCCTCTAATTATAACTTTCTATCTTCCGTCATACACTTTGCTCCTTCTACAGCCATTCTTTGTCCTCATCCTAACCTCCATTACCTGTATCCCTCTCGTTTTTTCAGGGGCTATGAACTCTGCCTTATTTGGAAAGAGAAGTCATTTTATTTTCCCTTCACAGTCTTGATCCTATAGCTGTCCTCTTCATCTGTACGCTATCTTCCACCCTTGCATCCTTTGTGCTCTTGTCTTATTGATACTTATTCCAAATCTAACTATGGGTTACATCCTCTGCCCCTATTCTTTGCTCCTATTCATGTGCTGCTGAACAGGGCTTGAGGAAGTCGTACAACTCTGCTGAGTGGCCGCACTACAGATTTATGCTATCTAACCTTGATACACAGCTGTCATTTTATTCTTCCCTGATCGACTTTCTGTCATAATCTCTGCAGTGGCTGTTTGAAACATTTTTCTTCCTAACTCAAGACCCCAGGCCACCCCATTCCTCTCTCTCAGCAGAGCAACTCACTTCTTTCTTTACTGTAAAATAGAAGCCAGCTGTCAGGCATCTGCTCTTCTCTCTCTGCCTCAAAACTACATGTATATTCTTTGAATTTGTTCTAGACTCCGAGGGAGAGGTGGGCCTTCTCTTCACCAAGGCCAGCCCCTTATGCCCTTGATCTAGTCCCCTCCAGTCTTCTCCTAGAGCTTGAGCCTTTGATCGTTCATCTGCTCATATCTTAAATCTTTATCTTCTGATTTCTTCTCCTGTACTTGCATACCCTGCAATCCCTCCAGCTACTATCCTTTTTTCCCCTCCTTTTACAGCCAAATTCCTAGGAAAAAGTCATCTACTCTCACCTGATCCCAGTTCTTTGATCACCCCTTGTAATCTGGCTTCTGGACTTTACCATATGATTGAAATTGCTTTCTCTGAGATTACCAGTGAGTGATCTCTTAAGTACTTAGTCCAGTGGCCTTTTTTCAATCCTCATATTATTAGACCTCTGCAGCTTTACCTGGTTGGCCTTCTCTTACTACTAGACATAGTAGGATAGGCTCTGTTACTTTGGTTTCCATAGCCCTGTTGCCTTACTTCTCCTGCCACCTGTCTGACTACCTTCTTTCTTAGGTCATCCTCTATTTCCTACCTTATAATGGTGGATGTTCTCCCAAGGAGCTCTGTCCTGGGACTTCTCTGTTCTTTCTTAATGCTCTGATTAGCTTCCACAGGTATTTAATTGTCATCTGTATGTAGATATTTCCTAAATCTTTATTACAGCCCTGATTTCTCTCTTGAACTCCAGGTCCATGTTGCCACTACCTATGAAATATCCCTGCCCATTCATATCTCAAACACAGTGTGTCCGAAACGTCATTATCTTCTTCCCCAAACTGCCTGTCCTGCCTCTACACTTCTGCATATGTGCTGAGGACACCGTCATCCTTCTGGTCAATGAGATTCAAAAACTCAGGATTGTCTTTGACTCTCTACCCAGGCAGTTGCCAGGTCTGCTCAATTTTCTCTCCATAATTCAGTTCAACAAACATTAAGATCTTTCTATGTGCCAGATACTATGTTAGACATTGGGGACAGAGTCAAAAACAAAAACAAAAGTCTTTGGCTATTGAGTCATTTATTTTGTCCAGGGAGGGGCGGGGTAGAAAAGAGGGGAAGGGGGATTACAATAAGAACACAAATGAGAAAAGTTCAAGGAAAATTGAATCGAGAGAAAACTCTAATGGCAGGAGAGATCAGAGGAAGAAGTGGCACTGGAGTTGAGCCTAGAATTAAGGTAAGTATTTTGAGAGCCAGAGATAAGGGGAGGCAGTGTTCTTCTTGCAGCTTGTGAAGATTAATGGAATCAGGAGCTAGAGTATCAATGGCTAGCTAGTAGTTCCGTTTCTGTAGAGAGAATCATTGAAGATAAAATGGATAATTTGACTTTTTATTTTCAGTGTCTAGCACAGTGCCTTGTACATACCTTACTTTTTAAAAATACATTTTTGTGGATATATAACCTGCATTTTCTACTATATTCCTCCCCAAACCCTCACCTAGAGAACCGTTCCTTATAATAAAAGGATTTTTTTAAAAAAGAAAAAAAATCAGCAAAACTAATCAGCATGTCAAAAGAAATCCAACAATACATTTCCACACCCTTGGTCCCTGACCTTTGCTAAAAAGCTGAAACATAGTCTCTTCTCATATCTTTTCTTTGGGGCAAAGCTTAGTCATTATAATTGTGAAGCATTCAGTTCAATTTTTTTTTTCAGTTACATTATTGTAGTTGTGTGTACTATATTCCTGGTTCTGTTTCCTTTATTTTTCTTTTCTTCTTTTTTTTTTTTTTAAAGGCAATTGGGGTTAAGTGACTTGCCCAGGGTCACACAGCTAGCAAGTGTCAAGTGTTTGGTCTGAGGCCAGATTTGAACTCCGGTCCTCCTGACTTCAGGGCCAGTGCTGTATCCACAGTGCCACCTAGCTGCCCCTGTTTCCTTTATTTTTCATCAGTTCGTATAAATCCATATTTCTCTGTATTCATCATATTCATGATTTCTTACAGCACAATAATATTCCATTACATTCATGTACCACAGTTTGATAGCTATTGTCTATTTTGTTTTCACTTTTTTATTACTCCAAAAAGTGCCTCTCTAAGGGTTGCGTATGGGACTTTCTTTTTATTGCTCACCTCCTTGGAGTATATAGCTAGCAGTGAAATTTCTGAGTCATAGGTGCACTTAACTTCTTAATAAATATTTGAGGTGAATTGAATTCTCTGTAACTCTTCTAGAACTAGGACCAGTGGATAGAAATTACAGGGAGACAGATTCTGTATAAGAAAAAAACTTGGCACCACAGCATGTACATAGAAGAGTAAAAGCAAAATGTTTACCAATCAGTCATTCCAAGGGAAGGGTGGAAATAATAACCAGAGATAACTCTAATAAGTGGAGAAATCAGGAAAGAGCTCTTAGAATAGGTACCGCACTTGAGCTGAGCCTTGAAGGGAATTGGTGATTCCAAATGAAGTAATGAGGGAGAAAATTCCAGGCACAGAGGAGAGCCTGCACAAAAACAGGAAGTGGAATGTCTTGTATGGAAAATGGCATATGTCATTTGTGGGCTGCTTTGACGGGAATGTAGAATGCTTCAGAGAGAAAATCGCGGCGTCCCATTTTGTGATCGTTCCCTTCATTTGAAGAGATCCCATTAAAGACAACTGTATGTTTAGCTTTTCTCCTTCTTTCTCAAAGGTATTTGACCAGAGTGCCCTTTCAACTGAAGCTAAAGAAGAAATGTACAAATTATACCCTAACGCTCGGAGAGCACATCTTAAAACTGGAGGCAATTTTCCTTACCTTTGCAGAAGTGCTGAGGTGAACCTTTATGTACAGGTAAGTCCCGACTCAGGGACTTCTCAAACATTAGGCTGTTCTTCTCATTTTAATGCTAAGGTGGAGGGTAGAGGCCAGCAATTGGAAGCATTGGATTGTTCTGAGGAAACAATTAGATTTTTTGATATTTGGAAAGCAACTGACTACCCTGAGGCTGTTGCTCATTGAACACTTTAATTGTAAGGTATGAATCAAGGACTGTAGAATCTTTGTAGAATCAAATGTGATGATGAGTAAATGGTATCTTTTTTTGTTTTGTTTTTGTTTTTTTGCTAGGCATTGGGGTTAAGTGACTTGCCCAGGGTCACAGCTAGTAAGTGTCAAATGTCTGAGACTGAATGGTATCTTTTGTTAAGAAATGTGAAAAAGTAATCCCTATACTACAACCATTTAAGTAGTTCCTCTGTATTTCTACAGATCCATTTACTGCAGTTTCGAGGAACAAAATACGCAGCCATTGATCCCTCTATGGTCAGTGCTGAAGAACTTGAAGTACAAAAAGGAGGCCTTAATGTCAGTGGTCAAGAAGAGCCATAGGGGGCTGTTTTGCAGCTCAACAGCGAATCCATTGGCCAGGCTTCCGGTACAATCAGGGCCTCTTTGTTCTGGGGTGTGGTTTGGGGGGATTTTTTTGTGGTTAGCCAGTCATCACTGGGCTTTTGAAATAGGACCAATTATTCTGTAAAATGCATTACTGATGACAGTGAGCTCTCCAAGCCCAGTATAACTGTATCCTTTTTGGTTTGACTTTTAGCTTTTGAATTTAAAGAAATATCTTTGAAGCCTCATATTTTAAGAATCGTGAAAATTTTTGCTACCAAAAGTCTTCACCTCTGCATTTAAGGGGACATTAATTTGTGGAGTTTTTGGGATGTTTTTTAATGCTTTAGCTGTAAATACTGCCAATCCAGATTGTGTACTAGAAGCTTATTGATTATTTTTTATCTGTTTTTGGTTAAAACTTGTTAAGGTGCCAAGGCTACCATCTGCCTCTTTGCTTTATTTCTAATCAAAACAAATTGTTTGGACTTTTTTAGCTGCCATCTTGCCAGCTATTATAGTCATTTTGAATAAAACATCAGATTCAAGAAGTGGCCTTCTTTATCATGATTGTTGCTGCTGCCTTGTAGATACACGGCTTTCCTGAAAGTTGATCTGTTGCCGTCTGATTATCAGATGATCTTTGTAATTGTGTCTGTGTAGGAGCCCAGCATGATCATTCACATGGGTGGGCTTTGTCTTTAAGTGGAAATGTGTGGTATCAGTGTTGTGGAGAGAACTCATTCAAAAGGCTTACTTTGCTTCTTCTGTCACTTATTTTCTTTGTGAAAGAAGAGGGAAAGTGCTCTTGCCTACCATTTCGAAAACAATGGGAGACAGCCAGGTTGAGTCAGACCTGAAGAAGCAGGTCTGGGCATCTAAGCCCAAGAAGAAGTTGATTATAGTTGTGCTGAGTACATTTGACTTTCAACTTCTTACCTGCTTCTACTATAATGGACATACTTTAGGAACCAGACTACTCATAATTAAAGGAAAGTTTGTGCCAGGTTGTTTCCCCCCTTATTAGAACATTATGCTTTAGAATCATTATGGAGGGGACCCATGTCTGGTAAAAGGGCACGCACATGATTAAAAATGGTGCGAAATAGCCACAGTAGTTATGAAATGAGCCTCTCAATGGTGCCTTCTCAAACAGGGATCAACACGGTGGTTCTTACTGTTTTCTTGGTGGCTCTAGAGGGTAAATGGCAGCTGATGGCTTCTGTGGTATGTGTTTTGATAGCCTGCTTACGTTGTACATTTGCACAAGCTAAAAAGGCTTCCTTTTTGTGGAAAGCCACTGAGAATAATGCACAGTTTTCATTGTGTTACTCACAGGTTTCTGCTTTTCCCAAGCAGTGACTTCTCATTTATTAATACAAGGTGAAGAGAACTAAAGAACTAATCCCCAGCTATCGGGAAATGTGAATTGTGGTGGATTTCTCTCAGGAATAACTAATATGACTACAACAGACAATGCAGGAAAATATACAGGTCCTCATTTATATTCAGGTGTCATTTTCTGCAAAGCCCAAGGATACAATGGAAAAGTCATCTCTGAGCAAGAATTAAAATGGTATAGTGGACAGAAGGCCAGCAGGAACAATAATGCTGACAGAGCTGCTCTTAGCACCAGGCACAACAGTGCACTGGGCCAGTACTGCTGACATTTACCTGAGAATCACATTTTCTCCCCAACTAGATGCTGCTAATAAGTACTTGTCAGTGGAGCTGAGAGGAGGTTCAGAGTAGCTGTTGTGTTTGATAAATTAATTCTCACTTTTCCAACTCAGTTTTACTATAGAACCGCCAACCAAGGTGTTAGTCTTGAATTTAAAGGAAATAGTTTTATTTAATAGCTTTTTCTTCTTTAAAAAATTAGAAAATTTCATTTGTAAAATTCATCTTACTAGGAGATCTGAATTCCCTATGATCTAGGTGCTGTCTGATGACTCATATAGCCCAGAGAACTCAATGTCTGAATACGGTTACATGGCCAGCACTCAAGGCAAAACCATATGCTTGCATTTAGCCCTCCCCCTTTTGCCCAGAGGTCTTTTTGCATTGCAATGGGGGAGGGGGGAACCATATATGAGAGAATACACTTTCCTCACAAGTACATGTAATTTGGAGGGTTCATCGGACCTAAATCCTGTTCCCTGCTGTGCTAACTAGCCATGGGATCAGTTTCTTTACATGTTTATGAAAAAGGGGAGGGAGGGTTTGAACTAGATGATTCGTTGAAGATTCTTTCAAGCTCTAAACTCTGAGTCTCTTTCTTTTCTCTGGACCTTTGCCCTAATGGGCAACTTTTGCCAACAGAAAAAGGTTTAATTCGTTGCCAATGAATTTACCTTCTAAGAAGTAATCCCCTTAATCTCCCTCTGTGAAGTTATTATGCAATAAAGCAAAAATTGTACATATGTAATTTTCAGACCACATGTCTAAATTCTTACACAGCTGTGCTGCTCTGATTTTTACAAAATGTTGGAGCTGGTAGATTCAAAATGGCCTTTGTAATTTTTTCTAGCCTTTACTATCTGTGATACTTGAGAATTCATAACAACCTGTCCTAGCCAGTCCTCTTCTAGAAAAACTCAGAAAAGCCATATTCTTAAATTGCAATTAACAAGGAGTGCACTCCCTTCCAAATTTTTATAAAATAGGCAAACTAGCTTATAAATAGTAACAGTTGTGGGGTAAGCAGGCAGCACTAATAAAACCAAAGTGGTCAGTTTTGTGTGATTCCAAAGCCCAGTGTATCCCATAAATTGTTCCTGCAGCTGTCTACAGTGACTGGTTTCTGAGAAGTAAAAAACCCTGCACCGACCCTGGGGGAAGAGGCTACTGGCAGGGGACTTCGCTGCTGCTGATCTCGAGATTCTAGGGTCAGTGAGAAATGGCGCCACAGAGCCGTAAAACAGTAGCTACTTTCTGGCGGGCTGCTCCACCAGCTCCCTCTGGGCCAGCTCACATCATTGTGCACTTCTTGGAGGAACTGGAGTCTGCATTTGCTTTCTTTCTGATGCTTTCTGTAAAAGAAGACAAGGAATTTGTTGTTGGAAGGCTCTGATCTACCTCAAAGAACAGATTTTCTTTTAATGACCTGAAACCTATTATCCTTCTTTCTTTACCCAAATGACAGATTAAACTCTTGTGTGTTTAATCTGATTTGTGTGGGAAGGAATATTATAGTTGCATTTCTGAATGAGAGGAAAATACTGCCATACAGAAATATATGAGGAGTGGAAAACTGGAGGGAAAGCCCACCAGAAAAGCAACAGAGAGGTAATAAATAGCTCAGCATGCCCATGGTGTAGTGGTTACCCTTTACAAAACCTTCTTGTAAAAAATGTATGCCCTTCCTAAGCTTCCTCAGCCTTCCCCCCACCCGAAAAAGAAAAATGACCTCATCTTCACCAGAATTAAGTGAGGTTCATTTGGAAACAGCTTACAGCACTTGACTTGCCCAAGGTCACCCCAGAACGAATCAGCAGAACCAGGACTTAAACCCACATCTAGCCTTCTCCCTGCTGGGTGCCCTGCTGCCTCGTGTCAAATTCCCTTTGTAAATGCAACCTAAGGATGCCTGGTGGTGTTCCAGATTCAAGCTGGCCCTACCAAGGCCTGCCTATGGAGCTGTGTAGAAAAGCAATTGAATTATCAGATTCGCCAAGGGATGCCAGTGCTCTACTTAGCCAAATTTGCTGAGGATGTATTTTACCAGCGAGATCTCTTCTGCCAATTCCCACAAGCCCTTCGTAGAGTCCTTTGTTTGGGTTTTCAGCTGCCATGATTACACCGTGGAGCCAAATAAGCAACATTCTGTGGCCGTGTTCCCGGTAGCTTTTAGTGCCTGATGACAATGGAGAACAGGAGGAGAAAACAGCTCAGCAACAACACGGAGCCACCAGCAGCAATCTAAGTCTGTTTGTTTTCAGCTACTATCCAACAGCTCCTTAAAGGAAAATGAAAAGATGCCTCTTAGAAAGCTCATTTCCCTAGGTGGCTCATACAGCCACTGTATGATCCCTTAGGGGAAACCGAGGCCGTCCATGAAGGTCAAGGTCTTCCACGGACCTTAATCCTAAGAGTCTCTGAGATCACTGCAGCCCACGGGAATCTCTTTCCCTAAACTTTCTTTTAGAATAATTTTTATGATGAGTTTATTTCGTTAAAACTTAGTAAGCATTCAATCCCAAACTATAACAAAAATGTACTTAACCACAGATAACAATATCAACTTCTCAGAAGCACTGTCATATCTGTTAGAGCAGGGGTGTCAAATGCAAATAGGAATTTTGTTGTTTAGTTATTTTAGAGTCTCTGACCCCATTTGGGATTTTCTTGGCTGGAGTGGTTGGCCATTTGCTTCTCCAGCTCATTTTATAGATGAGGAAACTGAAGCCAACAGGGTTAAGTGACTTGCCCAGGGTCACACAGCTAGTAAGTGTCTGAGGCCAGATTTGAACCCAGGAAGGTAAACCCAGAGTCTTCCCAACTCTGAGGCCTGGTGCTCTATTCACTGTGCTACTTGGCTACCCTCAAATAGAAATGGGGGCCACTAATTTGTGTATAAGGATCCCCATAGGCCACATATGAACCTGGAAAACCACATGTTAACATTGTTGTATTGTATTTTTGTTCATTTTGTTAAATATTTCCCAGTTACATTTTAATCTGGTTTGGGTCACATTCAGAAGTGTTAGGCCACAAGGGCCATGTGTTTGACAGCTGTATTATGATTTTTAGAAATGAGATAGTTATCGTAGTCATTGTGTGTTCTGTTATGCTTTGTGTTATTTTGTGTAGTGTATAGTTTATCATGTTTCTTTACAGTCCCCATATTTGTCATTCTTAATAGTCAGATACATTGATATGTACCAGCTTACTCAGCCTTTCTTCAATCACGAGGCATCTGAGTTGTTGACAGGATTTTTTCTGCTAGTGGCATAGACTGTGGCTATCAGGAGCATTTATGGATTGTTCCATTTTTTTCCCTTTTCAGTGACTTCTTGGGGGCACATCTCCAACAGTGGGATAATGGAAATAATTTGATGTCAGTTTTATTATTTTTGTTAGGTACTCTCTAGACTATTGGTGCTACTAGCCATGTCTAGGCTCTGTTTCCCTACAGTCCCACCCTCAGCCTTTTGTCCTCTTTATTGTTGCCATTTCAATAAGTTGTGCATATACCTCAGTTGTTTTCATTTTAGTTGGTTACAGGTGAGGTTGGACGGTTTTTTTTTCATGTGTTTATAGTTTGTTGTTCGTATCCTTTAACCATTTGTTTCTTTTGAGCTTTTACAGCCTTTATAATTAATTGGTGCCATTTATTTAGTATTTAGCATACAGAACCTTATAATTATTTAACTCTGGTTCAACTTTTCCAGAGGGGTGTTGTCCCCCCAGATACACTAGTAAGTGCCTGAAGAACAAGGATCCTGACTTAGACCTCTGTATCCCCTACAGGACCCAGCCATGTGAACTAGGTATTTAGAAAACACCACCACCACATTTGGAAAGGGCAGCAGGGTTTGCAGTCTTTAAATTAGGTGCTCTGGTTCTCTGGGAGCCATGTTTCCCCAATAGAAGGATCGCTTTTATAGGTCATTACAGACGAACCACACCTATCACTGAACTTTTTGGCTAAACCCACAGACCCATCACCACAGCCTGGCTTCTCAGAGCTTCTCTTCATTCGATATGCTTTGTACATTTCCTCTATTATACTAGTCCTTCAAAATATGTACAGGCACCCCATAGACAAAGTTTATTTTGATTTGAAGGCCTCCCATGTGTTCAAAGGACTGTAGTCAGTACTGAGAATTCAAAAAGGAAACAATCTGTGCTTCCCAGTTTACGTTCTACTGAGAAGATGTACATATACAGAAGCTATACTACATAAAGTAGTAGAAGGGGCAAAGGAGGGAGAGATGAAAGTGTTTGGGGAGGTGTTTGGAGGGAGAAAACAGGAGATTAAGGAAAACATCACGGTGGTACCTGAACTAATCCTGGAGACAAAATCTAAAAGGTAGAGATGAGGAGGGAGTGTACTCCAGCCATGCAGGATGGCTTGTGTGAATACCCAGAGGTGGGAGATGGACAGCTTGTCTCGTTCTGATGCAATACAATAGTGAAAGATAATGTGAGGGTTGGAAAGCTAGAATGGAGCCTTCTCTTAGAGATGTTGTGGATCTAGAATCAACAGGACTGATGATGAATTATGCTGCCCGGTTTCTGGCAGGTGAAGGCGTTACGTCGGGGTACATGGCCAGAGCTGGAATTTGCTTTGCTGGATCATACATATTTGTTGCAAGGGTTATTAGGTGGTGGTTGTTTTTTAATTGAAGATGAGGGAGAGGAAATAGAATTTTGTTCATTGAAAGAATGAGATTTAATTTAAAAAATAGTAATTGTATGTGGGGCATGAAGGAGTGGGAAGCATCAGAGATGGCTCCAGATTTCTGAACCTAGGTGACTTGAAGAAGGTGACTCCCCCAGCAGAAATGAGGACGTTCTGGAAGAGGAGGTAAATCAGGCAGCATTGTCACCAAGAAGGGATCGTTCATCATTGTATCCTGGCTCAAAACCACCTTGCTGGTGGATGTTATACATTTCATTTCAAAGGCCAGTTCATGCCCTGTACTCAGTCAGTCCATGATGGGGAATAGCAGGGTGGAGGGGAGAGACGGTCCTCATCTGGAACCTGGAGACCTGGCTTAAGCTTTGCTGTGCTGCTAGTGAGTCATTTCACCTTCCTAGGCCTTGGTTTCTGCACTTAGAACATGGGTTAAGACAAGCCTTTCCTGAGGCACAGGGTCATCATGAGGCTCATATCAAATAACATCTATAAAAGTGTTTTAAAGAGAACTGCTTTTCATTTAGGTAGTTGGCAGTTGATTCTTGTGAATGGGAGACGAGGCTCATGGCATGAAATGATAGCCTCACTAGCACCACCTTACCAGAACTGGGCTGTAGCAAGAGAGCTGTAGCTTGCTGACATGTTAGTACCAAAGAGGTGCTAATGCTTATTAAATGAGGAAATGTACAGACCTTGTCAAATTCCCACCCAGCTCACTCCTTCCCTTCATTTAGCTCTTAGCCAATAAGAGAGGTTGGCAATATGGGATGTGTCTGTGTCTGTATTAAAAACATACATACAAATATATCTTATTTATCTATCTATATATATATATATATATATATAATACATACACACACATAAAATTTGTATATACATACATGTTGATTATCACTACCTCCACACTGAGTTTCTTTCAGTGTATCTGTTCAGCTCTCATCTTAACCATAGAATCAATATAGATTTTTGTAAAAATAAATTTATATATAAAACAGGTATTATATATTACCATTTTACTAGGCTGCAGGAAGCAGAGAAATCTGCATGGTAAAATTTCTTCTGCTTATGACTTCTTAAGAACTATAACTGGAACTGGAAATTTTTTTGTAACAGTTAAATTCAACACGGGCTTAGAAAAACTGGGCATTTTATTTTTAAATGCTGGTGGGAAAGGGGATATTTTTACCAAAATAAATTAAGTTTCTTCATAACTACATGTCAGTCATAGGCTAGCCTGTTTCATTCCTACTGCCCAGAAGAATCTTGGTTCTAAGGCAGACCCAGATCATTCAAGGAATGTTTTGTTAGACTCTGCTGGGTCACAGCTGTACTCACCCACACATCACTATAATAGAGCATAACCTGGGGCAAATCCATGTCAGGTACGAGGTGCCAGGAGAGAGCCAAGGAGGAAGAAATTATTCTCATGCTCAAGGGTCCCCTAATTAGAAAGGTTCAAGTTGTAAGGGTCCAGAGAAGTAAGCAAGTGACCTGCTCAAGGTCAGATAGCCAAAGCAAGTACAAAGAGGAAACCAGAACTGAGGCCTCTTGACCTGCCTTTCACTCTTCTTTCCACTGCATCACAGGAAAAAAAGTTTCCCCCAGAAATGTAGGTTTGTGTGTAATCAGTACCTGTCCATTGCTGTTCAATAGCTCGAATGTGTGCATCAGTAAACTCCCAGTGATGTGCCAGCTTCTTCCAGTCGCTGTGCTTGAGGTATTTGGTGGCTAAGCGCCACATTACTGAGCGGATATGCTGGGTTTCCACCCCATGGTCCTGCTTAAAGGTTAAGGGTTTCACAGCCCAAGAGTCAGAGTCAGTTCTGAGGTGGTCCTGCAGCGGCAGAATAGAAGCTGATGATGTGAAAAGTGCAAATAGCCTGTCAGGAGGAAATCATGGGACAAGAGTCTGCTTGGCCAGAAAAGAACTGTTTAGAAACAATCTGCGGAGTGCCCCAGCTTTCTGCTTTGGGGAGGGTGATGCCCGTCATGGGACCACAGTCACTGTCGGCGCCACCCTTCATCTACTACAGCGTCTTCCACTTCCCTGCCTCCAGGATACGACTTGGGGAGGCCATGGAAGACACCCCTGGTCTGTGAATTCCTTCTGTGCTGTCTCTGCAAGTAGCCATCTAGTTTGTGCTTGAATACCCCCCGTAATGCAGGATTCATTAGAGCTCATCTGATCATGTATGTTCTCTGACATTTTAAACAGAAGAGGCTTTAAGGAAAACAATTGGAAAGTTCTTGGGGAAAAGGGAGGCCTGGGAAAATGAAAGTAATGTAAAAGTGCATCAATAAAATATTGAAAGTAATTAAGTGTAAATTTAGTCTTAGGATTTTAATTTTTTTTTTTGCCAAAATGAATAAGTCATCCTAATAAGAGCTGATATTTGCATGGGGTCTTGATGTTTGCAAAGCTTTTTGTGAAATAAAGATCTGCAGGTGTTATCCCCATTTATCATTTCTCTAACCTGGGTCTCATCTGCTCCTTCATGAAAGTCCTGGGTTAGCCAAACCCTGGACTGGCTTCCACCCCCAAAAAGAGGCTTCATGAGCTAGGAATTGGCTCATTTTCAAGATGTTGTCACTGATTCTGTTGTTACTATCCTGTGATATCAGGCAACTGAGGCAAACCTGTTAACCTTTGAAGTTCAATATCCTCCTCTGTAAAATGAGGATAATACCTGTAGTCCTCATTTCTGATCACTGCCTTCTAAACTCTACCTGGATCTTGTCAACTGATGGACCACAATTGCCAGTCCCTGCTCTTCTGCCTCAGCTGCCCTGATTTCCAAAACTAGAAACCTAGTGTTAGAAGCACTTGGATGGATCTGATTTGCCATGAAGACAGGATCTAAAACAAGACACTTCCATTCCACAAGCACATTTCATTCATTCAAGGCAGTTTGTTCAGGTGGGAGGAGTGAGTATAGTTGGTGGCCGTGCCATTTTCTGTTTCTTTTTCCTGTCCCTGACCTGCACATGCATCTCTTCCACCACCACTTGGAGGCAGTACTGGCTGACCATAGCTGACTGTAGCCAGGTTTCATCTTGAAACCTAATTCATGTTGCTCTCCACACACCAACAATAGGGAACTTTCCTACCTGTTCCCATTTGTAAAATCGATCTGCTTTTATGATCATATCTACCAAGCTGATGTGGTTGCCACGAGCAGCGACATCCAGTGATGTTTTTCCTTGCTGAAATTAAGAGGAAAGAACAAATGGCATTACTACATTTATTTATATAAAATGAAGATGTGAGATTATTTTTAGTATATTCTATAAACCCCTTTCACTGAAAAGATAACGTTTCCTGCTTAGAGAGTGGAAAGTGAGAGGTTTCTTTAGGTGTGATATTAGATGTTAAAAAGTTTTCCGTAATAAGAATATTCACGTTCATAGGCATCATTTATGCCACTTAAAGGTTTATAGAGCATCTTTCTTACAAACGACCCTCTTTGGAACCACGGTGCAAGTTAATCACTTTTTTAGAGAAGGGAAAATAGGATCAGGGATCTAAAATGACTTCACCAAAGTCACACAGTCAATAAGTAGCGTGATGTAAATAATGATGTCTCCACAAAATCCAGAGTATCTTAATGCAATTTCAAAATAATAACAATGGCAAGTATTTATATATAGGGCCTACAATACGCCAGGCACAGTGTATCCCCATTTTACAGTTGGGGAAGCTGAGGCAGAGAAAAGTTAAGTGACTTGCCCAGGGTCACACAGCCAGTACATGTCTGAGTCCAAATTTGAACTTAGGTCTTCCTGACCTCAAGCCCACTATGCCACCTAGCTGCCAAAAGGTTGCACTGTGAGTAATTTGAACAAGCTACGAATGCTGGAATACCTCAGTCAGTCCTTTGGATAATGCTCTTCATCTCTTCCCTGCAACGAGAGCCTCTGAGACTTTGCTTCCTGGGGACAGCCATGATAAAATGGCTTGCACCTCTACTAAGAATATGTGTAATGTTTTGCTCGTCATAGCCTTACTGTCCTCCCCCTCTGTTCCACCATCCTTTAAGGCCATCCAACATGGAGTTTTCCATGACTAACTACCACAGGTGATAATGATCCATCCTTTCCTTAAATTCTTTTATGACCTAGAGGCTTTATCACACAACTTAGCACTTACATTTCATTATATACTGCCTTATATTGTTATTTAATGTACAAATGACCCTGGGCAAGTCACTTAACTTAGTCTTGGTTTCCCTTAGGCTAGAGTCTCCTTACATTCCAACTCTAAATCTGTGATCCTGATGTATTTCCCAACTAAATAGTAAACTTTTCCAAGCCGGGAACAAGACCCCACCTCAATGCTAGTTTATACAATAGGCACGTGGTAAATTCTTTTATATTATTGTGAAGAGTGACCTGTATTCATGTTTAAAGACAGAGTCATCCCTAGGATACAGAAAACTGGAGAAACTTCCCCAGATCCCAGGGGTTATGGTTCTAGAGGCCACTGGAAGTGCACAGTGAGGCAGGTGGATCAGCTGGTATTAAGAAAAAAATTACCCGAGGCTCATACTTGTTAAGTTTCAGCCTATTGCAGGGGTCTCATCAATGAACCTGCTTTCTTAAATAATTTGATAACTATTTCAATATAATTGGTTTCTTCTGTCATCTTACATATTTTTTAAATAATTTGATTACTATTTCAATATAATTGGTTTCCTCTGCCATCCTATGTATTTTGATGTTCAGTTCTTTTTCACTTATGTCCAAATCTTGGTTACTCCTTTTTGGGATTTTCTTTAGAGATACTGGAGTGGCTTGCCATTACTGGTGAGGACATGAAGGCAAACAGGGTTAAGTGATTTGCCCAGGGTCACACAGCTAAATAAATGTCTGCAGCTGGATTTGAACTCACAAAGATGAGTTCTTTGGCCTGGCACTCTATTTATTGCAACCACCTGTTGGTATTTTAGTTTATTCATTTAAAACATCTTTGTGAGAGGAGATTCAGGACACAAAAGAAGATGAAAAAGCCCTGGCCAATCTTGACTCTGGTTCCCTGTTTCCACACATAATGTTGTATGTTGTTCCACCCATCACCTCCACCCTTCTATCCCTCTGCAGGGCTGCCCTTGATAGTAATTTTAATTATGTTTCAGTGCTATCAAAAGGGTCCATGGACTAGGCTTTCACAATTTCCTCCCTACACAGAGAGTTGAATCTAAATAATCGCATGCCAGAGTGTCTAACTTATGGTGTATCTCCATGAGACCTGGCCCATGGCAGCAAATGAAGGGTCAGTGCCTTAATAATGGGAGTGTGAGCAGGGAATCCACCTTATCTGTCAAATTTAAGTTCACTCCTGCGAGGAGTATCATTTCTGCTATGTCTTGTCTTGCATTCTCAGCAGCAATGTGGAGGGGTGTCTGTTGCCTCTGTTTGAGAAAATAACATGAAAAAAGAGAAATGGATTTCAGAGCAAAAGCCGTTAAACTTGGGATGTAATGGTAGAGCAGTGAGATGGGCCACCCAGCACTGGGGCCCTGAACTAAGGAAGCCAAGCTTTGAAATGGCCATTGGCACTCTGATTAGGCCTTGAGGTTAAAAAAAAAAAAATCCCTTTGCTGTAGACTAACTTAAAGAAATTTGTAAATTAGCAAGTTAACTAGACAAAGAGAAGGTTCTTATCTGGATGCCCCTTACAGCCAGCAGCTTTGGCCTCATCACATTCTCTCTTTGCAAGATTTAAGTCCCTGGGATGAGAATGTGGTCTTTGGCTTCCCACTGACAGAACAAGGCTCTCAAGCACCTGCCTATAGCAAACAGCCAGTGCCCAAATGGAACAAACCATCCCACTTTCAGATTAAAGACGCTGTATGCTTAACAACCTGTAACAGATAGTGTTAAGAGTCAGAAACCAACCATATTTACAAGTGAGCAAACGTTTTGATAGTAAGTTGGTCGTTTTTCCTCCAAAAATTACTTGGAATGGCATTTTGGCTGAGATTTCTCAAATGGGGGTGGGAAGAGGGATGTTGGAGGGAGAAAAAATAGATTTTTATGAATGGAAACAAAATTTATCCCAAAAAAGAGGAAGAAAATTACTCCCAAGACAAAGCCACACCATCAGGCAACAGACCCGCCTGACTCTAAATAGCAAGATGATCACTGGTCACTTAGCATCTGCAAAGGGTTGCCCTTAGAAAAGCTTACATTGTTGGTGACATCAAGGTCGATTTCTGCCTCGATGAGGCGTCTGACCACAGAAGGGAAGTTGTTCAGCACCGCAGTATGGATGGGAGATGCATTTTGCTGTAAAGAAATCACAAGTGAGCCCAAGAACTCTATTTTTGCTTTCTTTCTTTCTTTCTTTCTTTCTTTCTTTCTTTCTTTCTTTCTT